CGGGTCGGGCCTCGGGTGACCCGCGGGCGAGCCCTCGGGCGTAGGTAACGGGACCCGCTGGCTCCCGCCGCGGGACTACCTCGCCCGCCGCCCGAAGTCTCGAGGCTGGGGTCCTCAGCAGATCCCGGGGTTCGCATTCCTTCCCCACTGTTTAGTTCAGAGAAAAGGTGATCGTTAAAAGTTAACGCTAATCACTTCTACATCTCCAAAGTATAACACGCTAATTCGAATCCGAATAAACTCTCCCTACTCTTTTTGTGAAAACAACATTTATTGAGAATGTAATACTGTCTTTCCTTTTGTAAGACTTGAAAAAGATCGAAATGGGTCAAAGTACAGGTAACACTAAAGATGATTCAAATACTTAAGCAGAATTTCCCTCTTAACACTTTCACAGTGTTTAAAAAAAAAGTCTCAAAATTGATGAGTGGCATAAATTCAAACGAAAACTTTTTTCTACTGAAAGAAGGGCATCCAGCTCCCACAAACGATGGTTCGGCCGACAGCGAGACATTTCTGGTCTTCCTTTTGACCAGGCAGATCGTCAGCTTTCCCAGTTTACAGCTGAGTTGCTCTTTCCAGACTTTTTGAAGCATCTTTAAGTTTTCCCACTAAGTCCTAAAAAAGACGTAAATCATCCCACGTTCTCAAGATAAAACGCGGGAAAATCCGATCCAAGCTTGAGAGAGATGCAAGAAAAAAGTCGGGTGACAACTTTCTAAACAAGTTTAAAATCCACGAGGTTTTTAACCTTTAACAAATGATTACCCGTTAAAAGATTTTCCCTAAACTATCTCACCTTCAAACTGGCAACTTGCCTTCAGATTTGAAATAAGATTTCTTACTGAAAGCTCTTAACAGACAAGATACATCTAAATAAAATTTCTCAAGTTATCTAACAAAGATCATGCTACATTTGCATTTTCTGAAAGTTTAAAGTTGGACTGTTTACATTAAAACATGAGATGTCCTTTGAAAGATTCAAATTCATCAAACTTTCAAGTTGTGATCTTAATTTTTTATAAATGGTAAGAAATAATTTCACTGTCATAATCATTGATCACTGTAGTTTTGAATCTTCCCAGTTTTAGAGTGTCAATATAAACAGTTTTAGAACTCTATGTATACTTTTCCCTTTTAGAATTCTATGTATACTTTTCCCTTTATGGTCATTTAAAACCATACTTTAAAAATCTTGTTTAGGTTAAAATCAGTTTCTAAAAGCAAAGAAGTCATTTTCAAAGTGATGCTCTTAACTTTGCTTTGTTCTACTGGATCAAACAACACAAATAGGAGAGTTTTACACTCAATACTAACTTCAGAAGTTTATTTTAATAGGAAGGGAATGGCAAATATAGGCTAATTTTCTATTGTAACATGTTAATTCCAAAAATGTTAAATGTTAAAATAATGCTTTTGAAACCCCCCTTACCATTAAACTTTAACCGACCTTCATTATCTATTTACACTTGATTATGTTCTTTTTCCTTTGAACTTACCATAAGCATAATTCTCAAACATTGCAAAAACAAAAGACATACTCATAGATCTAATATTATACCTGTAATTGTTCCATGCTGCAACTAAAACTAATCTCTGGATGGGATTGTGAATCCGTGTTCTAGGGAAGAAAAAAAGGCAGTTTATTTAAATCAAGGAAATTTAAATTTTCATTTACACATTTATTTTGTGGAAAAGAGCTTATGTATAAATACCTCCACATTTAAGGTCACCAAATATGCAGGTCTGTACATCTTATGAAGCTGATTGGTCTAAAACAACACAACACATACATTTCAACTTTTAACTATTTTTTAATAAAGTTCCCTTACTACCCTTGCAAAGAGTTAAACTTTACCTTTATCTGATATTCCAAACGCCAAGAAACATCAGTTATATGAGGGAGAGATCTGCCTATACTGAAAAATACAAAGACAAATTTGCACACCTTATCTACAGAATAATTTATCAGCAATTATATTTACTAAGAATGGCATCTACAGTTCACCAACACCCAAACACAATTTTAATCCATTCTTAATTTAAAACCATGTTAAATTTTCAAGTTCTGAATAGTAAAAATGTATTACTTATCTCAATAAACTTTATCTTTAAAAACATTAGCTTAACTTCTTTTCATTTGCCCTTTGGTCCCTTTTCTTTTGGTCAAGATCCCTGTTTGGATGTTTTTGTGGGTTTTTTTTTTTTTTGGCCCTGTTTTCACACAAGCATTCTCCATTCATACCTGCAAGTGAAAAGTGGCTCAGCTTGATACCTTATACAGTACCTACCTTCCCAGCAGAATTTCTAGGGAATTCTTATTATTCTGTAGAGAGGAGGGGGGGAGGGAAGAAAAAAAAAGATAACATATTTTTGCAAGCAGAATGGTAAAAAAAAAAA